AATCCTGTAGCATTCCAGGGAAGCATGCTAGGAATGGATGTTAGCTAAAACAGGTGGTCTTATACTCATTTATTGTATCATTATTATGTTAGAGAGCTTAAGCTGTGACACCACTGGTGCAGCGGGTTGCGAAGGCGTTTATGTAAAACACGATTAGTAGTGATCTAAGGTGGGAAGATCGGATACTGGTCACTCCCAAAAAAAGAGTGGAATTTCAGTTATACGTATGTGATGTACCGAGCAGTGAAGGAAACTTAGGCACAGGTTACAGTCCAAAAAAATGATTTTTTATTTAACCCAAAAACATAATTGGTTAAATCATGTAAAAAGAATCAAAATCTTGGGCCCATAAAAGAAGTCAGAATAACAGAACTCTACTCAAAGTTGACAACACGACTGATAACTCAAACAAACTGACCTCACTTAACGAGACAAAGGGGAAACTTAAATAGTGGCTGATCAGCCCACAAAAACAGGAGAAGGGGTAAAACACACAAAACCTAACTAAACCTAACATAATGAACTCCAGTTCCCCCCCATGGTCCCGAGTTATGGCATGAACCAATTTGTAGTCTTCCTTTAAAGCTGGCTCCGCCCCTTTTCCACCTCTTGGCTCCTTAATCAAGGGACTGGAACAGCTGCAACTAACTCAGAAAACAAAAGATTAATCATACATAACAGTGTAAACTAAAATGTGCACACTTATTTTAGAATGCAGTGTTATGTGGATATGTGAATTAACTCTAAACCAAAACCAGTTATTTATTGTCCTGTAAATTAATTCCTATATTTAAAGAAAGACAAATGTGAATGTGATGTTACTTATAAGCCTCTACACTAACATGGTGGGTGTTACCACTGTGTGGCTGTAAGTGCAGCCATCACAACGTAACTCCGAACACTCCCACCTGAAATAATATGGAAATTTGCATTGTTGAGGGTAGATATGTAAGACTACAGAAAGCTTAAAATTAGTTTACTTGCAATGTTTTTTACATTAAAACAATGAAGTCGTTTACACAAAGACCAACTCAATTAGACAATAATTCATCTGATTATTTGTAAACATGATGCACTTTAGGCCAAACTCAAACATTGTGCAATAAAGAAAACATGGTCAAGTTCACATAATTTGCACAACAGCAGTATCAGCTGTGAACCAGACCCACACAGTGTTTTTGTTTGTGTGCAGCTTTCAGTGCGTTCCAGCTTTTCACTGCTAAATTTGCAGATTTTTTTGCACCCAGAGGCTGAAAGCACATTTTAAACACTTAAAAAGAAAAAAAAATGTTGGCGTCTTTTTATTTCCTGCGTGTTGTTGATCTGGCTCAGGGGTTAGGTATGACTGCAATGTGGTAGAGACAGAAGCTGCAGTCAAAGCTCCTGTGATCGGGTGCAGACTTCATAGAGACCAGCAGATGGAGGGGAGAGGATCTGCGTGCATCCTGAAGGTTTAGCAAGAACTGAGAGGTTACACTCCTCCAGTACAAAGATGACCTGTCACACGCTGAAGCATGCCTTATCAATGCAGACGAGCATCCTGTTTATGTACCTCACAGAGCACAGCTATCACAGGAAAAGAGAGCGGGATTACAGATGGAAATATGTATGAAATGTCGTATCTCCCCGTCTCTCTCTCTCTCCCCAAATACCCAGGCGAACTTGGAGGCAGCGTGCATGTGATGCCTGCATTTCCATTTTATTCGCTAATTAATGTTGTTTTGTCTTCAAAGTGCAATTGCAACCTGTAGTTATCGGCCTTGATCGCAGCATTTTCAAGGTTGTCTAGATGTGAGCCGTCACATAACAAACAGGTGTAAATATAGAATAACAGCTCAACAGAGAAATGGAGGATTTACAGCGTGTGGAGAGCGCCGTGCAAACGAGGCACAGGAGAGATCGTTTGTGATAACGTGAAGGACGAAACAGGCATAATATTTCTATCTATATCGCTTTTACAAAAGCTGCTTTTGTTTGTGCGCGTCTGCTCGCCGTGTCCATTACGTTTCCCTGCGTGTTTGTTGGTGTGGTCCTTTCTCTTGGCAAACACCCAGCACGCCGGATCTCTCCGCCTGCTCTGCAGCAGCCAGAGGGGCCGGCCTCAGTCTCACACTCGTGCAGCTCTCACACACACACACAGCTGTTGAGCTGTGTTTCATTCACATCGTCACCCTTCTGACATCTGTCTGTGTGTGTGTCACGGTGCCGGTGTGTGTCTGAGTTAGCAGGGTGGTTGGTGTGCGAGGTGAGGTTAAATGGGTGCCTAGCAATGAGAGGAGGCAACTGAGGCGGAACTGGCAGAATATCTCACACACACACACACAAGCAGTGACAACAGAAACAACACTATCAGAGCAACATGTAAACTGCAGGTGCGCCCTATGCCTCGGTGATTATTCCATACTTTGTTTCGACCCTGTCGCCCGTCACCGCGCGTGCGATAATGTGTGATAATGTATGTGCGACCTCGTGCGATGTGCGCTTGCAGAAACACACTTTGGGTTTTGCACTTGATGCTTTGCAGCATCTAGAACTTGATGCACGCTCAGCGAAGTATTTATTTTTCCTGATTTCATTTGAATCTGACGTCGACCTGGTTAGCGGGGACTGGAGATTTTCCCGGGTACTTCCTGTGATGACAGGCAGAATCCTCATCCTTGGAGCTGGTTTCTCATTCGACCTTTCCGTGTAACATATTTTTCAGACAGACATATCAAATATCAAACCTTGGTTGCAAATGTCACGAGCTTAAGCCGACGTTAAAAACCAAAGCCTTCAAAATTTGCACAAATGCATGTTTTTAAATCCAACGAGCCGGCTCTGACCACAGGAAGTTGCATTTCTGCAGGTTTTTACAGCTAAAATCACGACGGCGTCTGTGGCTTTACATGTTTGATCAAAGCACTCTTGCATTGTGCATCATGATCCATTGGACTGGCCAACCTGCAACCATCTGGGATGGGCTCCAGCCTCACCGTGACCTTGAATTGGATAAGTGGAATTAAATGGATGTACACTGAAACTAAAGCGCTATATGCTGAGCAGAAACCCATCTGCTCATCTGTAAATGAACCTTTCCCCCCTTTTTTGGAACACCAAAAAAGGCCGGAACAAAAAACGGAAGCAACCGTGGTTTCCAACAACAAAACAAAAAACCGGCAATTAAAAAAAAAAAAGCAAAACAAGAAGGCCTGCATTCATCACCTGTTGCTGCGAGCACAACCTCGTTCTTGCCTGTGCATGTTGAGGATATTTTATTTGAATTTAAAACCATTCACTGATTTAAAGAAAAGACTTTTAGTGCACAAACGCTTACAGTGTACTGTTATAGATTTATCTCCATGCAAATATCCATGTGCACCTTTTAATATTCCGTGGTGAAGCAGCAGCGCTGCCTCTGCTCTGACAAACACAAACGTTACCGATGAGATGCATCGCAGCCACCGGCAGCAAACCCCTGAAATTCTCGTCGAGGCAGCGCCGCGATTTGGTCCGGAATTTTTATCCTGCAGCTCCGAGCGCCGAGCGGGGCTGGCTGTGTTTGTTTGTTTCTGCTCCAGCCCTGCTTCCTGTAGCGCTGCGGCGTCAACCCGCCCACCGTCCTCCCGTCAGAGCCGTGGAACACAGCCCCGCCGCCACAGCGCAGCACAGGCACCCCAGCGACTGAGGTTTCCTCTTGGACTGACTGAAGTGTTTGCTGTTTTCCACATTGTTGGAATTCAACACCAGCCTGTTTACTGGTCCCCATGTGGCTCCAGTCTCTCCCCTCCTCCTCCTCCTCCTCCTCCTTTCTTTGTGCATGTTTTTCCCCCTTTCCACAACATACCTTCTTTATATGGTGTGTGTATCCTCCTTCTACACAAAGTACGCACACAGCACACCTATGAGCTGGAATTCTTGCCTATATTAGACACTCCACACGATATCTCATGTGGCGTAAATCACACTGGTCAGTATGAGGTTGAGTGGTTGCTTTTATCCTTTATTACAAAAACAATCACGTGTTCAGATGAATAAATAATTTTATATCACTGAAACAACGGCAGTACACCATAAATATGGGTTTTTTAGACATACACACATGAAAAGCAGGAATCTCAGGCATCCGAGCGAAATATTTAGGAATGTTGCGAGACACTGGAGATGTGGCGCTTTCATAAATATCCACGGCGACGAGGTGAGAAAGCAGCGACGCTTCACCCTTTACAGCAAGCTGAATGTCAAGAACAAATGAGCTTGAAGCAGCGCTATCAACGTCCTCACTGTGACATTTGGAGTGTTTTTTCCCACGTGAGGTACTGCATGTGCTTCGGGGACTTGATTTTCATATGCTTTATTTTTGCAGCTGACAATAAATCATACAGTAAATCAAAGGAAATAATAATAATAATAATATACATCTCAAGGAAAAGAAATGTTAACAAGATGACGAGGTGCATGCAAAATGAGAATCTCTTCTTTTTCCTGTTCACTTCCTTCCCTCGGTGCAGCCAGATGGCAAAGCTCCAGCTCTGCAGTCCTCTTCATACACTCGTCATGTTTGATGGGCATCCCGCTGCTGCCGAGTTTCAAGGAGGCCGCGTGTTTACCGAATGACACTCGTGACAAAAGAAAACTTCTATTTAGCAAGCTGGTTGTTGGATGAGGTGCACGGGGGCAGCGGCGCGCGCGCACGTGCGTGTGCATGTGAGTGTGGACCCTGTGGCGTGTGCAGGTGTGTGCGTCGAATCACGTTCTGCCTCTTCGGTTTCTCTTTCTCTACACTATGTTACATTTTATTATCACTTTTGTGCATCGAACCACTCCAGCACAGAAAGATTTGCTTTCACATCATAAATATCATACACGTGGGGGGGTCGGGGGTGGGGGGGGTCTCCTCCGCTGATGGACAAACTTTAAGCAAAACAAAAATCACCTGTTGGACATTTGCAACTGAAACAGGGTTTGAGGGTTTTAATCTTTTATGTTGTTGTTGCTGTCAGTTGCCCTGTCGCTCTCATTACGCTCTAATCTTATGCTAATATTGTCTTTGTCTTCAATGGTGAGGAATTCCCATCAAAGTTTTCCCCTTCTCTTAATACTTTAGGGAATTTTCAAACGTCGGGATGTATGGCTGTAATGCCCCAAGATTTGTTCTCCCTGAAAGAAATGATAGAGTAAGAATATATTAACTACAGAGCAACCTGGCTTTACGCGGTCTGCATTTACTCTTACTTCATTTTAGGTTTACCAATATGTTATGCATAAATATATATATATACGAATATAGATAGAAATCAATATATGCTTTGCAGCATTCCTTTAATTTAAAATTTAAAGCCATGTTCATGCATTAAAAAGCAATTTCATATTTTCGACTGCAGGGTTTAGATGCAAATCCATGGGGCATTACGTTAAAACCATAAACATCATAAAAGAGGAAGTAGAAATTAAAAATGGAGGCAAAAATGAGGACGTTTAACTGGTCATTAATAACTGAATGCGTTCTCGTTTGTTGATGTGAGAAACAAAACTCAAAAAAAAAAAAAAAACTGTATCCAAGAAAGAACAGAAAAATGGCGAGTGTAATGAAAAATAAAAACCCATTTAAAGCAAAGTATTTTTTTTTTATTCACACAAATTTAATAAGATATATAACAACCGTTTGGTCCATAAATATTTAAGGGGAAATAGTTTCTATACACCATCTTTGTCAAGAAACAGGGAAACATGGACAATCTTGATAGAACACTTACTGTACTCAACTATTAACACGAAGATCAATATATAAGGTTCTCGGATTACCCAACTATATCTGAAAGAGTGCACAAATGCTTCCTGTGACATCGCTGCCCCCTTTTTAACAGGATACACCATAAAAAGATCTTCGGAGATAAGATGCAAAACAGTACAAAACTAGTGAGGCGCCAAAAAGGATGTGAATCAGTTAACAAAGAACACATAGATCCTGAATTTCACAAACTTCTCCCAAGTTATAGCGTAAGGCACATAGAAGAACTGAGTTAGGTATCTACTTCATCGAGTAGATCGGGGGCGCCACCTTTGCCCCCCGACGGAACGAACCGTGACGCCCGCTCGCGACGAAATGCGTCGACTCCATTGAAGATTTGCTCGCCCTTTCCTTTCCTCTCGCTCTCTACCTTTCAGCCAGAAGAAACGTGGTTTTTTCTTTTTCCCTTTTTTTGGTCTGTTCAGTGGCAAGTGTCGTTAAACGAAGCAGAAGTATACGGCCGAAAAGGAGAACGCACGGACAGCGATTTCCCGCTGGCTGCCTCTCACGACTCCACCTCTATGAGGTCATCTGAATGTTCATGTCAGCTCTGCAAATCTACGTCGCGGCCGCTTCGCTCCTCGCCCTGCTCTGTTCTTTTTTCGTTACCCTGAGCAACATGATAAAAACAATAATGCACTTCTCACTGGGCAGTGTATCGTCACTGTGCAATCGAGTTTAGCTGTGGATCTACGCTCGCCAGGCTTTTTCTCCGGGTTAATCTGCGACGAGACGACGACAAAAAAGAGGCAAAAAACCAAAAAGTGCTCTGTCGTGAAAACAATCGTTAACTGCTCTCCAATCAGGATTTCTCCGGCCGGTGTCTAATTGTCGAAAAGGTGACGACGTCGCACGTTGAACAGTTACCACTGTACAGATCGAGGGATTCGCTTCTCTCTCCTCGTCACAGTAAAGTTTCCTATCTGCACGTTTTTCTCCTTCGTCTTCTTTCTCTCGCGTGCAGCTCTGATTCCATCCAACTCAGTCTTTAAGACCGAAACATTCGGAAATAATTAAAGCCTGTTTTCTGGAGTTACCCATATACAGAACATTCTACAAGTTTATTTTTCCCAAATGAGTCCAAAACAGAAAGAAAATATTTAAATCGGATAGTGCGAACACAGTGCATACATGTACAGGTCTGAGGGCAGAGTAGCGGCACGTTTTTAAACTTGACCAATTAAGCATAAATTAAGGAGGGCTCGTTTTCACTCTTTTTTTAACCAGAATCAAGACAAATGTACAAATTAAGTTTTCCAGGCAAACTTTTTTTTTCCTTCCTAAAGCCTTCGCCTCCAAAAACGTCCCGTCCCGAGTCAATCTCTGCATCTGCAGTTTCAAATGCTACACATTAAAATGGTTTCCTCGTGTCTTAATGCGGCCGCTGCTGCTCGTTGCTCTTGTTGCTCTTGTTTGCACAGCGCAGCACTTTGTGTTCCAGGGAGCTGTCTCTGCTTGACTTAAAGGTGTCACTTTAAAAAAATAAAATGTGAAACTGAAGAAAGCAAACAAAGAAAGAAAAGCAAAAGAAAGAAAAAAGGGAAACAAACCCAAACAGAATCAGTCTGCTAGCTTGTTAGAAAAGGTTTGTCAAGGTAGTTTGCGAAGGGCTCCCCGAATCATGGCTGTCCAAACTAGAGGTGACGGAGGTCACTACAGTGATAGAGGGGTTTGTCAGGTCTGTTAGTGTGGCCGCGCTGGAGGGGGGGGTCAGGGCCCCACTGTCGGATGAGGGCGGAGGGAGTGAGGTGCCATCAGCCTTATCAACACCTCCATTCTCCTGTCGCAAAACGTTCCTTCTGAATTTGGCTCTTGCGTTTTGGAACCAAACCTGCAAACCAATCCCAATGTGGCTTTTACTTTTAGTGCTTTAAGGAACTTTCTTTTCTTTTTTTAAAGTATCAGATCATGTGTACATTAGCTTACAAGTCATCACAGCTGTTACTGTTTCAAAGTTGTCTCAAGTATATGAATCTCTGTATGATACATTAGTTGGGGCTTAAGGGGCAACAATGAACCAGTGAGTCTGTCCTGAACACTCAATACAAGAATGTGGATTTTTATATAAATCAAAACAAAATGCTACAATTTACTGATTTGTTTGATTTGGTTGTTTTTAACTGTGACAGTTTCATTACACCTAGTGCACTCTGGCTACTAGCAAAGTTAGCAATAGAAGAGTTAACTACTTTCTCCTTTCTTTCCCTCCAAAAGAAAGAAAAAGGAAGAAAGAAACAACATCTACAAAGATAAACCCCTTGGATATACATCTAATGACTGAATGGACCGACAAAAGAAAGCAAAACTAAAAAAGATGACGACATCAATGATCACTTTGGTGTCAATGAGGAGGAGGAGTGGCGTGCAGACACACACGTGGGGTGAGCGGCGTTAGTAGCGATGACTCTGCTTACCTGTAGGACTCTCTTAGTGAGGCCTGTTTTCTGGGCCAGCTGCTTTAAGTCCTTGGCGTCGGGGTTGTGGTTGATGGCAAAGTAGGATTTCATTGTCCGCAGCTGATGGTGCTTGAAGGAGGTCCGCATGCGTTTGGTCTTCTGCGTCGGAGGGTAGGCCTGCTGGTCCCGGTCCAAGTGATCGGCGTCGTTCTCGTTACAGCCTGAAGAGAGGGCAGAGCGTGAGGCGGGCTTTGAAAAAGAAACTTCGGCAGGTCAGTTTACATTTGGATAAACAGCCCCGTGTGTCAGACTTCGTTTGCACTGTGCCCCAGGCCACTAGCGCCGCTGTAACAATAAGAAAACAGCTTCATTCCGGTGATTTCCAACTGACGCTGATGAAAAAAGAGACAAAAGATTTCCACTGACAGGCTGAGGCAGAAACAGCTGTTCTGTGTCGTCACGGCGTTTCGTCAAAGCGCTGATAACAATTAAAATCCTCAACAAGCCGAGAAGCTGACTGAAGCGGCTAAAAGGGAAATAAAGCGCGGTGTGTGGCTCGTGTCTGTGAGCAGATCTGAAACAAGAAACAGCAAAATGATGAATTTTAACTGTACGCTGGGACGGGGCTGAATCCTTTCTGCTTGTGTTTGCAAAGACTAATAGGCCTAATGGGCCTCATTTGTCAGTAGCTTAGTGTGTAAAATACTTAAAACGGATCCAGTAAATTAAACGCAGGCGCTGCTCAGCAGTGCTGCTTGTCACTGCAAGAAAAAAGCTTTTTTCAAACACAATTTGATTTTTTAATTATCCCAGAATTTATGAGATTTCGTCTAAAAACATACAATGAAAATGGATTTATGTTGATCCTCACATAGAAGAAGTGTTTCAGGAAAGCACGTCTAAAATATCTGAATCTCTCACGTCGCTGCAAAAGCAGCAAAAATATAGAAATATAGGATTTCTCAGTTTTAAAGTGTTTCCTGTTGAGCCGTTTTTGGGCTAAATTACACATCGTTTAAAAGAAGAACAGCGATACGTGTGAAAGGCTTTAATTATGTTTGAATATCCAGCTTTATTCTAACAATCACTGACATTTGTGCTCTTCTGTTCCAGTCTTGCTGTGTTTAACTAGACATTACCCACTAGGGGTCTCTGTATCCAAACAAGCCCAGCTTTGCTGTGGAATCCACAGCAGACTCACACACCTTTCCCTGGTGAAAACAAACATGGATGTGCTGCAAAAGCAGGAACAAAAACCTCAAACAAAACCTCTTCCTATTTGTTATGAATAAGAGGCTGCTGATCTGTGCAGCCATTTATACGAACAACACAGTGATGCTATAAAAGTGTGTCGGTGATGCAGAGTGGAGGAAAAAGAGCTTTGAAATAAATATGTGTGCATATATATTTATTTCAGTTGATGCCGTTTTAATTTAATTTTAAAAAATAAAATAAAATCTCTCATTTGTGAGGTCATTTTAACATTTTAATGTTTAAATTAATTACATGTGGCTGAAAACAAAAATATCCTTTTAAAAATTGATGGTGTTTCCACTCGACTCTCTGAAGAGTCCCAAATGAACACATTATATTCCCTCTGGGACTTTTATTGTGTCTGCGGAGCATACCAATTAATTCACATGGACATCACTGTAGCTGCGCTTTGGGCCTTTTTCTGCGAGCGTGGATTTTATTCCTATTTTATTTGAACTCGTCCTGTTATAAGGCAGAATGAGCGTAATCTCTTATTCTTACTGCAGAAACAAAATCACGGGACTACAATGGCTTTTTCCTATTAGAGCATCAGTGAGAAACTGGAATTTGCATAATCCCCTAGAATTGTGTTCAGGAATAACAAACCGAAGCTCGTTTAACCGGAGCGCTGACTGTACGGCGCTGTGTTCTCAGCCCCCGGCCTCTCCCTGCAGCAGGCCCCTCTGCGCGCCGCTGCTCTGTCCCTGAGAACTGTGCTGACCGCCGCACGGGAGGCCAGGGATTCCAACGTCACCTTCAATTAACAAAGAACAATTAACGCGCAGATTACCCCTATTCCTACCCATTCACTAGGAACACAGGAAACTTGGCGCACAATGCCAAACTTTCTCAACCGCGCACTAATTCGCAGAAAGCAAGAACAAAATGGGGACACTGCAGGGAGGGCCGGGGTCGGGTTATAACACTCGACGATCCAGTGCAGCATTTTCAACACGTTTAACACTGGCTTCATTTGCTTTCCAGCGGTGTTTTTAAATTTATTTTTTTTGTTCCTTCCATAAAAGTGAAACACGCGGAATATTCGGACGTTTATTTGTCCACGATTTCTTTTCTATGTTACGTTTACTCCGTTCAAACACATTGTTTTTCACGTGTTATGACCTAAATTCGCTCTAATTATAAAAGTCGATGAGCAGGTTGTCGGCGAGGTCAACTTTCGATCATTCTGTTGGCGGAAACGGTGCGTAAAAGACGCGTGGACGGATCAATTAGCCCGCAGCTCCGAGCGCCGGTGCAAGACGTTCACGTGCGTTTACAACAAGGCCTGCGTTACGAATGCGTCCATTTCATTTATTGAAATAATATTTGTTATAGAGGGGATACTGAAGGGCCCGACTACAACTAAAAAGCGACAGAAAAAATGCAACTGCCCATCAAAAAAAAACAAAAAACAAATTTGTGAGATTTCTCTGGATTTTTTCTGATTCACCCGATTTTTTGTTTGTTTTTTTAAGGAAAGAAAAGGAAAAGATGAATTAAGATAACACCGTTTGACAGCCTTTATCATTTCAGGCACTCACTGTGCAGCGGAAGCTTCCTAAACTGGTGTTTCGTTAATGTTCGCGAGAATCTGCTTAATGTTTAATTTCATAGGTTTTTGTGTGTGATGACAACATCATAGCTCGGCGTGTTTTTCCTGGTTTCACTGTCCTCCTCTGCTGGAAACATCCATGCACTAAAACTTCCAGCAGATGTGAGCGATTCCTTCCACACCAAAACTAAAAGGGGATTTTATTGTGAGCGTGTCTGTGTCGTTGTTGTTGTTGTGAAATGAAGCTCCGAGCAGCTCAGCTGTCTCACCTGTGTTGTAGCTCGGTATATCTATCCCCATGGCCGGACTCTTCCTCTTGCGTGGCCTTCCCTTCTGTGCCGTGCCGGTGCCGTTGAAGTAGGGTAGAGTGAGGCCGCCTCCCTTGGCTGCCAGCTCGGCGAAGTTGAGCTGGGGGTGGTAGTCCGGTCCCTGCACCAGCGTCTCGAAGTGGAGTCGGCAGTACACTAGGCTGTCCTTCATGCCGAAATGATCGCCCGTGGTCAGGGTCTTGTTGCAAGTGGTGCACGTGAAGCAGCTCAGGTGGTACACGGAGTCGCGCGCTCGCATCACCATCTCCGAGGCCGATATCCCGAGGTGGCAACGCGCGCACCTCTGCACGGAGAACCTTCTGGAACAGACACACAGTCAAGACTCCTCATCCGTAAAGACCAGAGTGGACAAACAGCAGGCGGGGGGGGGGGGGTACTAAAAACTAAAATCTAACCCGCAGTGTCACGAGCTAAGAGTAAGGCCTGCCTTATTTAAGCGGCCTGTACGCGGCTCCAGCGTCCACTAACGCAGGCCTATATTTTGAGGTCGCATTCTGAGAGCCACATCTGGCCCCAAACTGGGTGTGTACATGTGCGCGCAGAGTCGCTACACAACCTCACAATAAACCCACGAACGCTAGCCCGACACACGAATAATACAAGCATATGTTCAGCAACACTATCAGGTAAATACACAGGTAATAATTACAGAGCGTAACTAACAGCCTGAGCCGAAGCAGTGCCGTAAAAATGTGCGTTAAGAATGTAGGATAAGACATTTTTGTCCAGCTGTTTTTCTGGAGCTACACTCGCATTACTTTAATATAATAATAATTAAATAATAATAAGAGTTTGGATAAGAAGGTGACGTGTGCATTAAGTCCGTGTTTGCATTACACACCAGGCTACAGAGTGAGCACCGTTTCATTGTTAAAACTTATCCCCGGTTAGCAGCAGGCAGCTCACGTTAGTGACAGCTGGGATGTTTTTCAGTCCGAGGCCTGCAGCCTGTTGATTAACGCTGACTGCTCAGTGATTGCTGAAATGGTTATTTAAGAGCTGGAAACTAATATCACATATAAATAGGTCACTGTCTAACTGGGTCAGTGGGTTTGGGTTTAGGTTACAGAGGGGAAAGAGGGACACGCGATTTTAGGAGCAAGCCCGTAAAACTTTCAGTTTTCTTACCTGTAGTAATCCTCCTTGCAATAGATACTCCCATCCTTGGCAAAACACGTTAGCTCCGACTCCAGCGCTAGTTTACATTCACAGCATTTGAGGCACCGCAGGTGCCACTGTTTGTCCACGGCCAGGAGGTAGTATCTATCCGAAATCTTGCCGCCACAGCCGGCACACAGGGCTGGCTTCTCTGGGCTCATAGAAGGCATGTTCTGGGACAAAGAAGGAAAACAAGGCTCATGGCAGCTGATCGCTTCAAACCACTGCTGGGAAAATGGTCAGAACATTGTGCTTAAAAGAAGAAAAGCAAAAAAACGAAATGCTGGCCATAAAATTCAACTTTTCTTTTTTAAACCTGGAAAGCTTCCTGTGAAAGCTTCAGTTATGGTTCAGCAGCTTAATGTGCAAATAGGTCTGACTTATTATATCTATGAATTAAGCCTATTTACCTGTTATACGTATGAATTTATTTTAGCATCGAGAAGGAAAAATACAGATGATGTTCGTGTTTTGAAATTAAATCCATCTACGAATAAATTTAAAATGCTAAAATTAATAATTTTAATTTAAAAAAAAATCAGGTCAGCTTCTATTTGCAAATATGAAAAATACAAAAACGCTGTCGGAGAAAAAATACGCCGACATTAATGTTCGTTTTATTTGATGACCAGATTAAAACGGTGCTTTAAATCGATTTAGAAATAACGACAGCAGAATTAAAATCTGTCGTTCACCAATTATTTTTGCAGAAGAAGAAGACGCAGCCATTAAAAGAACAGTGCTGCTATGAAATCGATCATATCCGAGAGAATAATATGGATAAAGACGAGATTCCTCCTCACTGGCCTCCTACTTACCACGGCACGTTTCCGGGCACGTTAACGTGCCGTTTTTCGGTCTTGCGGTAAGTGAGACTAACGCGACTTTTTAGCCATTATTTCACACACGGCTCGGCCTGGCTCTTACCGACTCTCTCCCGTTCAGCTGCATGCCCTTCGCCAGGCGAGACTCCGTTTTCGACCTTCTCTCCATCTCCTCCATGATTCCTTGGATGTGATCCCCGGAGATCCCGTGGAAAAGCATGGCTCCAGGTCCTGGACGCAACGTGCAACTGCCTGCCTCTGTCTTGCAGCCCACAACTTCCATATAATGCACTGCAGCGCTGCGCCCCGCTCTCTCAGCGCATCCAAATGGGCTCTGAGGCTCTAAAAAGAGGCACAAGGAAGAAGAAGGAAAAAAATAGACACAACCCCAGAGATTCAGATCACCTCCTCAGCAGAAGCAACGGGAAGAAAAAGGACAAAACGAAGAAACTACAGCATGAGTGGGGCAGGAGGAGCTCTCCTTCTTCCTGTGAATGTCTCTCCTCCAGGAAAAAAACCAAAAAAAAAAAAACATATAGTCCAAATGATGCGACAGGCCGGTGTGGAAGTGGAGTTTGAGGAGGGAGGAGGGGAGGGAGTGTGAACACTGGCCAAAATAATGACACAAAGTTTTTTTGTGTGTTGTTGTTTCTTTTTGGTGACTCTCTCTCTCTCTCTCCCAGTTTCCCAGTCCGGGGTTCCTCGGTGCTTGGAGGTCAGGTTGGGACTGCCTGGATTTGAGAACCGTGTCCTATTTGTGAAGAGAGCAGAGCCGGCCCAGTCTGAATAATTTGGTAGGAGGAGTTCCTCTCTCCCTCCCTCCCTCCCTCTCCCCACCTCTCTCTCTCCCTGCATCGCCGCTGATTTCTATTCAGCAACAAAGAGATGTCACTCTCCCCTCAAAAAGCCGCGACTCTGGACCACTGCTTTATGGTACTGACATTTTCATTACGTTTGTTCTGCCATTTAAAGGCGAGACGACGGGAACGTAAGCTGCGCAAAGTCGGTGCAAATATATTAGATTTATTTATGAAAGCATCTGCATCGCAAGCAGGCGACCGAGGCCCTCTGTGGTTCCACCGGACGCCTCACGAGTGGGAATAAACTCGTGTCTCACGCTTAAAGACGCTTTCTAATAAAAGTTCAGTTGGTCAGACTGGAAGAGTTTTTGGGAAGTGTGAGCTGGACCAGACCGACACACACACACACACACACACACACACTGTGTTTGTGACATAAATATTCTGTCTGGGCGGGGCAGTGATCAGTGATAGGCTGGAGGGCGGGGACAGATTCAATTGAACATTTTTGAAACAATGTGATTTGTTTTCAGCCCAAATGAATGAGATTTGATTAAAAACTGAATTAATTAATGAATCAAATGTATCCAGGTAACAACAGCCTCCTTACTCAGACAACCCGAGCACGCTTACATGTATAGAAATCTCTCTCTCCCTCTTTTAAACGCTCTTTTGAAGCAGTCATTATCCACTGTCAAGGATTCATTAACGCGGCCCTTCGTCTTTTCTCTGTCTGCCGAATTAGGCCGAAACCTTGTTTACCTGCTGGAGAGTTGATCTGACAGCAGCCGAGAACTGTGTAGTCTCCGCATTTCATTTGTTTGTGTTTTTCCTCTTTCTTTCCGCTTTTCTTCTTACGGGCTTTATAAGAAGCAACGTGGAAGTAAAGGCGAGATGAGAGAGAGACCTCCAGTTGGTGGTCGCCACAGGGAAACCTCAACCAGCTATTGCATATTTTTAGAAATTCATGCTTTTTAAAATTCCATCCCTATCTCCAAAGATGGTCTGCTTTACGCAGGGCGCAGTGGGGGCTGCAGTAACGATCTGTGTCAGTTTTAAAAGGGTGTGGAAAGCTTTGTTGCCCAAATAATAAAGCCAGGAAATAAAACGCGCTCAGCTTCCAGTTTGCAGACTTGGTGACAACAAAACTATATTTTTTTAATTAATTCGTTCATTAATTGGAGATTTTGCCCGCGTGACCTTCCAGCTGGACCCACGCCAGCGAGCTGTGGTCTTTGTAAGATCGATGACGGCATTATTTTCATAAACAGACAAACATCAGTCCCGTTAATAGATTTAGCAAAGCTCGGGGAGGTTTGCAGGTGTGGATGCTTCATCTCAAGACGTGTTACATTATCACGTGAACCTCCCACCACCCATCCACCTCACCGCACGCGCGCGCGCACGCACACACACGCGCGTGAGCACCAAGCGAAGTTGTGTTGGCTTTAATTGGAGGCCCCTTGATAGCAGCGCTATAAGACGAGGCTTGAACCCTCCTGGACGGGCTGGACGTGCAGCTGTTGTCAAACCCATGACGCTCATTTGCGCTCTGCAGTGTCCCGGCACCAGCCGCAGAGTGGTGGGGGAAAGGGCCACTCAAAAAGGACACGAGGATTTCATTTCACCTGGACAAAGACGCCCCGAGTGGAACGATAAGCTCAGCTCTGTGTGCGATTTTTAATCTTGACTGCAGTTTTCCTGCCATTCTGCGTCTTCTCTGCGGATTAGGCAGAAGGGTGTTTTAAATATGAAGAAGTTTTTAAAGAAAATATGATTATTATTTGTTTTTTAATGAAAGCGTTATTGTCGATAAATAACGCTGTTGTGGCCCGTTGCCTCCAGCAGTGACATTTAATATGACTGAAGAGCGTTTACCAATGTGTCAGTGAACACCAAGGGGCTGGGGGG